CAAAACTATTTTGCTTCAATCTTCACCAAAAAAAAAAAAAATAGATTTAAATCAGTTAGCTAAACAAGAATTATTTAAATAAGGAAGGGGACAATTTTAAGGATGAGATAAGAAATGAAACAGTGATTTGGGTGGGTTTGAATAAATTCAAGTCAGTAGTGCCTATTGAACTTTACCCCAGGACACCAAAGAAACTGGCAGGGGAGATCTTGGGCCCCTTGACAATAATACCTATATTGTCTTGGGTGATGGGCAAAAGGGTAAAAAAAGGCAAAAAGGAGGGTCTGAAGAACTATAGATGGTTTAGCTTCACCTCAATACTGGGGAAGTTATGGAGCATATCATAAGGATGGACATTTGCAAATATCTGGAGAAGGAAGGCTGATCATGAGTAGCCAGTATGGATTTACTATGAGGAAACTGTGCCAAACCTGTTCTCCTTGTTTGACAAGGTTACTAGATGGATGGATGAATGTAAGTCTGTGGATGTATACCTGGACCTCAGCAAGGCTCTTAATAAAGTCCCATCTGACCTTCTCATACATAGATTGGAAAAATATGGGCTAGACAAAACTACTACAGGGTGGATGGACAACTAGCTCAATTGCTGCAAGCAAAGGGCAATTATAAATGGAGCCAAGTTGGAATGACAGAAGGCTTGAAGTGAAGTCCCACAGAGGTTTCAACCAGGGCAGTCATCCTTGTGGGTAGAGTCAGGAATGGGACCAGGGATTGCAGAAGTGGGGGTCAGAAGCCCTGAGTCAGGAGCCAAATGCCAAGCCAGGACTAGAATCCAGGAATCAGAAGCCTAGTTAGCAAATCCAAACCATAGTCCATATGGTAACATCCAAGAGCAGAGCCAGCTGGGATCAGGAGCCAGGAAACAGGTCCATAGAGAAATCCAAAGCCAAAATCCAAAAGCAAGCAAAAAGGGTCAGGAAACAAGAAAACCAGAGACATTGCCAGGACAGGAACTACTCAGGTACTGGAGACTATTAGGTTGTGTAACAGGGCTGAGGTGCTGGAAGAGTTCCTTACAAGCAGCCCCAGAACCAATTAGAGGAAAGGACTGGGGTCATCTGGCCTCAATTAATTTAAGTGCAACTGACCTAGTTATAAGAGCTGCAGGGCAGGAGTCTGACTAAGTCTTACACAGCTAACCCAGTTACCCAGGCTGCAGGGCAAGAGCCTTACAACCTTTATATTAATGTTTTGGATGCTGGAATGGAGAGCTTCTTGAGCACGTTTGCAGACATCACAAAACTGGGAAGGATTGCCAACACACTGGAGGACAGGGGCATAATTCAGAAGGATCTTGACAGATTGGAAAGCTGAACTGGAGCTAACAGGATGAAGATTAATGCTAGTAAATTCAAGGTGCTACACCTCAAGAAGAAAAATCAAAAACACAAATACAAAATGGGTGACGTGGTTGAATGGAGCACCATGGAGGAGGATCTGAGAGTCTCAGGCTTTATACAGACATTCAGAGTTTCCTGGGAGAGTCACTGCAGGACTCAAGGGCAGCCTCCTAATTGTTATCAAAAGAAGATCAGGGTGTGGCAGGTGAGACAGAAAGAGGGTTATATGGAGGACCTGGAGTGTGGGCAGGACTCGGGTGGCCCCATGGGGTGCTAGAGCCATCCTCAGGGCCCATCCTTTCACAGGCTGCCATAAAGTAGAGGTGGAACACCTTTTCTCTCTTGCTGCAGAGGACAGGGTACAGATGGCTTGCAGCAATATATGTTGAGATTGGATATCAGGAGAACTTTTTCATTGTTCAAATGGTGAGGCAGTGCCTAGGGAAGTTGTGGAATCTCCATCATTGGAGGTGTTCAAGAAGAAGCCTTACTGAGAGTGCAGGTATAAACCAACCCAATGCACAGGAAGACCAGCAAGTATGGTAGAAGGCCAGCCTGGCTTAGCAGGGAACTCTTCAGTAAACTAAATCACAAAAAGGAAGTTTATAAGAAGTGGAAACTTTGACAAAAAAACAGGGAGGAGTATAAGAGCATTGCTCTGGCATGCAGGGATGAAAGCAAAAGCACAGTTGGAGTTGCAGTTAGCAAGGGATTTGAAGGGTACTGAACGGGTGAGGCAACCTTGTGACAGAGGATGCAGAAAAGGCTGAAGTGCTTAACGTCTTCTTTGTCTCAGTCTTCACAGGTAAGGTCAGCTCCCAGACTACTGCACCAGGCAGCACAGTTTGAGGAGGAGGTGAGCTGCTAACAGTGGTGAAAAAACAGGTTAGGGACTATTTAGAAAAGCTGGGTATATACAAGTCCATGGGGCCAGACAGGATGCATCCAAGGATGCTGAGGTAGTTGGCCGATGAGATTACAGAGTGTATGGCCATTATCTTGTAAAACCCATGGTGATCAGAAGTCCTGGATGATTGGAAAAAGGCAAACATAGTGCATACTTAAGAAAGGGAAAAGGAGGATCCAGGGAACTACAGACCAGTCAGCCTCACCTCAGTCTCTGGAAAAATCATGGAGCTGATCCTCAAGGAATCCATTTCTAAGCACTTGGAGAAGAAGGTGATTAGGAACAGTCAGCATGGATTCACCAGGGGCAAGGCATGCCTGACCAACCTGATTGCCTTCTATGATGAGATGACTGGCTCTGCGGAGGTGGGGAGACCAGTGGATGTGGTAAAGCTTGATTTTAGCAAGGCTTTTGATACAGTCTCCCACAACATTCTCTCAGGCAAGCTAATGAAGTATGGGCTAGATGAATGGACTGTAAGGTGGATAGAAAACTGGCTGGAGCATCAAGGTCAGAGAGTAGTAATCAATGGCTCAATGTCTAGTTGGCAGCCGGTATCAAGTGGAGTGTCCCAGGGGTCGGTCCCAGAGCTGGTTTTGTCCAATGTCTTCACCAACAACCTGGAAGATGGCATAGTGTACACCCTCAGCATGTTTGCAGATGACACCAAGCTGGAGGGAGTAGTAGATACACTGAAGGGTAAGGCTAGGATTCAGTGTGACCTAGACAAATTGGAGGATTGGACCAAAAGAAATCTCATGAGATTCAACGAGGAAAAGTCCAAAGTCCTGCACTGGGGGTGAAATAATCCCATGCACCAGTACAGGCTGGGGGCTGGCTGGCTGGGCAGCAGCTCTGCAGAAAAGGACCAAGTGTAAACTAAATATAAGCTAAGAGTGTGCCCTTATTCCAAAGAAGGGTAACAGCATACTGAACTTCACCAGTAGGAGTGTTACCAGCAAGTTAAGGGAAGTGATTATCCCCCTCTATTCAGCACTGGTGAGGCCACATCTAGAGTATGTGCATGTTCAGTTTTGGGCCCTCCACTACAGAAAGGATGTGGACAAATTGGAGAGTCCAGTGGAGGGCAACAAAATGGTGAGGGATCTGGGGGACATGATAAGAGGAGACTGAGAGGGGATTTAATAGCAGCTTTAAACTACCTGAAGGGAGGTTCAAAAGAGGATGGAGCTAGACTGTTTTCAGTGGTGGCAGATGACAGAACAAGGTGCAATGGTCTCAAGTTGCAGCAAGGGAAATTTAGGTTAGATATTAGGGAAAATGTTCTCACTAGAAGGGTAGTAAAATATTGGAACACGTTATACAGAGAGATAATGGAATCTCCATCCTTGGAAGATTTTAAGACCCAGCTAGACAAAGCTTTGCCTGGAATGATTTAGTTGGGGATGGTCCTGCCTTGAGTATGGGGTTGGACTAGATGACCTCCTGAGGTCCCTTCCAACCATAATTTTCTATGATTCTATGATTTCTAACTATAGTTATGGATGCCCTTGGTCTTGGCTTGTTTCCCTTATGTCTGTTCCTGATTCCTCTGGGTTGTGACCCTCTAGGTCAAGACCCAGTCACCTATGTCCCTGTCATACCCCAGACACCAGACAGTTTCCAATGTTTCAGTTATCTTCAGACAAAGGGGCATCTAATTATGCCATCATTTAGCCTAGGTGGAATGTGCCTGGCACAGCTATACAAAAAACTAGAACTCTTAGTTCCAAAATGATACCTTTT